CATCTCCTGCCCGAATGAACACTTAGACGGTTTGATGTGGAATGAGTTGGCCTCCAATATTTCGAGAACTATCCTTAGATGCCCAAGATGCTCGTCCCATGACTTTGAATAGATCAAGATATCGTCAAAGAATACCAGAACGAACTTACGCAGGTAATTCTTGAAAATAGAGTTCATGGCGAACTGGAAAGTGGATGGGGCGTTGCACAAGCCGAATGGCATAACCAGATACTCATAATGCCCCTGATGTGTACGAAAGGCTGTCTTTGGGATGTCAGCTTTGTGAAGTCAAATCTGGTGGTAGCCAGCTCTTAGATCGAGCTTAGAGAAATAGCGTGATCCAGCTAACTCATCAAGCATATCGTTGACACTGGGGATTGGAAATCTGTCCTTGATGGTTGCAGCGTTTAGAGCTCGGTAGTCAGTACAGAATCTCCACGTACCGTCTTTCTTTTTAGCCAACAGAACTGGAGAAGAGAACGGACTCTTGCTATGCTGTATGAGACCTGATTCAAGCATCTCGGCCACTTGCCGTTCGATCTCGGTTTTCTGAAAGTGAGCGTACCTATAAGGGTTGACATGTACGGCATGCTGTTCATTGACCAACGGTATGCGATGGTCGAACTCTCGGTGCGGCGGTAGTCCTTTGGGCTCGCCCAGGACTCCTTCAAATTCTTCTAGAAGCTCACGCACATCTCCCTGTTGTTGTGTGTCCTTGCCCGAGTGCGCTCCCACATCTTCGACTACTACGGCAAAGATTTGGCCTCCACCCCGCCAAACTTTCTCGATGCTCTTCAACCCTACTTCCTTAGCTTCTTTTTCAGTGCTGGTGCTGAGGGTGACCTGACGACCCTCGGAGTTGAATTCCATAATTCCCGTCCGATAGTCGGTCGTTACCTTGCCTAGTCCTTCGAGCCACTGGACGCCCAGCACTACATCTGGTCCAACCAGGGGTAAGGCATATAGATCAGCCTTCACCGTAACCCCGCTAAACCTGATTGGCACCTTCCGGAAGGACTTAGTGCATTGCAGCCTCTCCCCGTTGGCTACCCGAACCTCAAAGGGTTCAATATTCATAGTTGGCAAGTTCAGTGTTTGAGACAACTCGGCGTTGATGAAATTGTGGGATGACCCGTTGTCTACTGGCACCATCACCTTTCGATCCTTGACCCAAGCTGGTAGGCTCATAGTCCGAGGACCTCGTATCCCGGCCATAGTGTGCATCGAGATTTCAGGCTCATCTTTGAAGTCCTCGGTCTCGTCGTCTTGAGGCGGTTCCTCCTCGACCTCAACCTCCTTGTCGTCCGGGTTGACCACTTCTATGACAAAGGCTTGCTTGCATTGATGCCCCGGGGTAAACTTCTCTTTGCATTTAAAACAGAGACCCTTCTCGCGTCGTCGTTTGACCTCCTCCGGCGATAGGTGTCGGACTAACGCCCCCGCGGGCCGTGTATTGACCGCAGGCCGAACGACCGTGGGTACTTGGCTTGGGCCCGTGCGACGTGCGTCGGGAATCCGGGCGTCCGCCCGTCCCCTTCGAGTTGCAACCAGGTGATCCTCCCGGCGTCGGGCCACTTCAATCGCGTCATGCATGGTGTCGGGCCTCTCGAGTCGTACCTCAGCAGCCAGGTCGAATTTCAATCTGCCGATAAACGCGCCAACTAGTGCCTCTTCCGGCCAGTCGCGCACGCGGCAAGCCAATCGTTCGAACTCCCTAATGTATTCGCGTAGGCTGCTTGTTTGCCGTATGCGCGTAAGAGCCTCATTGTAATTATGATAATCGGACGTACCAAACCGCGTAAGCAACTCTCTCTCAAAAACATCCCAAGTAATAATTTGCTGGCGCTTGCGGTAGATCCTAGTGAGCCACTGCCACCATACGTTGGCCTCACCATCAAGATAATAAGCTGCGTACCTCACGCGATCGGGACCGTCTGTTTCATTAAGCTCGAAATACTGCACCGCCCTGTTGAGCCATGCGTCCGGATCGCTGCCCGTGAACGTGGACAGCGTGAAGCGTGGCTTGTCAATCCTCGGGCGTTCGTGGTATGTAGACGCTCTTCGCGACGCCGATCCTCACCCTCGGCCCGCTCGCGCTCGCGTCGCCGCGCCTGATCGCGCTGCTGCGGTGGCGGCAGGCGATCGAGTACCGTGCGCGCCATCTCATCAAA